TGAGTAGCAGGGATTACGCAGGGATTACAGGCATGTGCTACTATACTTGGCTAATTTTGTATTTTTAGCAGAGACGGAGTTTCCCCATGTTGGTCAGGCTGGTCTCGAACTCCTGGCCTCAGGTGGTCTGCCTGCCTTGGCCTCCCAAAGTAGTGGTATTACAGGCATGAGCCACCACTCCTGGCTGGCCTATTATCCTCATACCCAAAGTTAGACCTAGAGTCTAGAGTTCCAGTTTTTGCATTTCTTTTGCAGTAATATCTGACCAATGCTATCTTGAAGGAGAAAGAAGAATTAATCATATAAATGTAAAGGAGAAAAGCAAACCCACAATGGTTTCTTACTAACACTTTTCTGTATTTATTTTGAGTTAGGACTATAGAATGAGTTTTTCTTCCTCTTTTTCCTATATATCTTTCTTATCATAGGAGTTTTAAGGAGTTCTTGGGTTGTGTTGTGTTGACCATGTCAGCCTTGTTTTGGGATTTATAATAGAGAAGTCTAATACAGAAGTCTCACATTCTAGTCCTCCAGAAGGGTTAACAAATGAGTTCTGAAAAGATTGGAATCTTAGCCGGTTTACACTTTTCATCATAAATTCTTCCTTATAGGTTCACAGAAGGGAGTCACTGGACATCAATTGCCAAATGCCCAAGTAGCTGGACTTCCTTTTTGCTTTTTTTCTTGGCCTATTTAAGAAGCTGTGGGGCCAACTGACCAGTCTGATGGCATATTGAAAGGTAGCAGAGGCCCACTCAAGCATCAATATTGTCTGACTCAGAGAAACTAGTATAAAACACAGACAGTCAAATACAGTCTTTTACTTGTAGGGCCGGGCGCGGTGGCTCAAGCCTGTAATTCCAGCACTTTGGGAGGCCGAGGCGGGTGTATCACGAGATCAAGAGATCGAGACCATCCTGGTCAACATGGTGAAACCCCGTCTCTACTAAAAATACAAAACATTAGCTGGGCATGGTGGCACGTGCCTGTAATCCCAGCTCCTCAGGAGGCTGATGCAGGAGAATTGCCTGAACCCAGGAGGCGGAGGTTGCCGTGAGCCGAGATGGCGCCATTGCACTCCAGCCTGGGTAACAAGAGCGAAACTCTGTCTCAAAAATAAAAAAAAAGTCTTTTACTTGTGTAGGAAGGACAGTAAAAAGAGGCACTAGATGTTTATTTAGCTTTTGACAAATGTATGCCTTGAAAGGAGCAATGTGTTTTTGTTCTGTGGATGCACCAAATAGCCCTTCTTGGAAATGATTGGGGGAATTCAAATAGGCAGAAATCCTCTGGTCAGCACAAACTTCAAGCTAGCAATTCTCAAGACAGCATGAAGCTGTTTTTTAGTGTCAGCTATGGTCAGAAGTGTGTGTTGTGGCATTTGGAAAAGGAATTAGGGCAGTTAGCTAATTGCACGCTTGAAAATGACAAGCCCCTTGAAAATTCAAAAGTCTGACTCCAGTTCAAAAAGAAATTGGTGTAGCTTTGAACTCCAAAGTTGTTATTGTATACTGAATTTCAAGTACTTCCTATTAAACATGGAAAATTTGCTGTCCCGCCTAACCTTATCCTGAGTGTTTTGCTATTCTTAGCCCATGTTTTGAAGTGTTCTTGATTTAAAAGATGGAGAGAATGGGTTATATCAGTTATATTAATTTAATAAACAGCCTTGCTTTGCTGTGTAAGTATTTTCCATTTATATTCTGCAGTAGTGTTTGGGGGTAAATTGTGAGCTTTCTAATCAGGGGCTATGAGTCAAGGAACAGCCTGTTGGTTTCAGGAATCCTTAACACTTTATAATGGATCAACTAGGGTACTTTCCCCACATTTTCTTTATACACAGTTTAAAAAAATATGGAGCATTTTTTTTTTCTTTTTTGAAACAGGGTCTCACTCTGTTACCGAGGCTGAAGTGCAGTGGTGCAATCTCAGCCCACTGCAACTTCCACCTCCCAGGTTCAAGTGATTCTTGTGCCTCAGCCTTCCTAGTAGCTGGGATTACAGGCATGTGCCACCATGCTTGGCTGATTTTTGTATTTTTAGTAGAGTTGGGGTTTCACCATGTTGGTCAGGCTGGTCTCAAACTCCTGATCTCAAATGAGCTTAAGTGAGCCACCTGCCTTGGCCTCCCAAAGTGCTGAGATTATAGGCGTAAGCCACCACACCTGGCTGAGAAATTTTTATAAACTGTTTCAGACATGAAAAGATAAGATATCCTGACTCAAAATCAGTATTTTTAAAAACACAGTATTTAAAAAAATATAGCACTAAAAAATACAGTATTTTTAAAAATACAGCATTAAAACATATAGTATTTTAGAAAATGGAAATGTTTAAGGTATTCTCTCTGTTGGAAAGAGATAGACATTTTATCTTTTCTGCTAAATATAAAGTAAAAAATCAGCAAATTTTTACATTTGAGAAACAAGCTTTTCTTCCCGACATTACCTTGGTTCTGTTGTTGACCCATGAAAGCTAGTAACAGAGTAGGCCTGGGTCCTCAATGAGAATGTGCCAGATGCATGCAGAGCTTAAGGTCTAAATAGAGACACCCCAAATCAACCATTTGACTGTTAAGTGTGGTTTCAATGTTGTGCTTGTGCTTTTTGTTATTTACTTAGCATGTTACATTGTTCCAACGATAGAGGAGAATTTCTGATTTTTGATATGCTTTGAACAATAGTGGGAAATTCATGGCTTTTAGCCTGTTTGTTTTTTCACTAGGGTCTGTGTACAAGTCAGCAATGCTCCTGGGATCACAGTACTTCTTCCGTGTTTCTTTCTAGGTAAACTAGCTCTTGAACTTAGAAAGAAACACTTTTGCTTCCTGGAGCTGAGGGTGGGAGACGGTTGTGGTGAGAATGTGCTTAAAAACAGACAGACCAGCTGGAGATGCTTGTTTTAAGTGAAGGGAAGAGGAGCAACAAGGAGGGACCGCCTATTGCACATAGCGCAGCGTTTCTTAATCTCTGCACTAATGACATTTTGGGCAAATTTGTTCTTTTTTGTGGGGGATTGTCCAGTGCATTATAGAATGTTTAGCAACATCCCTGGCCTCTACCTATTAGGTGCCAGGAAGATCCTGCCACCAGATATAACAACCTCCAGTTGAGAACCACCATTGTAGACTCTCAGTATCTAGGTACATACAAAGCCATCAGTGGGAGTTCCAAGGACTCATTCATTTCACCCAGCACACATTCCCATGTCAATCTGACTTTGCCAGCTGTTAATTCCTCTTTCTAATGCGCTCTTATTTTTATCCTCAGTTGAGATGAAACTTTCTCTCATAGGTTGTCTGGTCACTGAGGTCACTAGGTCCTAGGTCTGCCCTCAGTTCCAGGTTGAAACATCTGTCCTCACCTCTACCTGTACCCTGTCTCAGGTTCCCTGGCTTCCACCCACAGCATTGCCTGGAATAAACTGGTAGGCTGCTTTCAAATTGTTTCAGTTCAAAAAAAATACCTTTTTAAAATTTTATTTCATTTTAAACCACAGTTTCTTGAAGGGTCTCAATGACTTCACTCTCTCATGGTTCTGTACCTTACCCCTGTCATGCTTAGCTTCTGAGGGTGAGGCAGAGCTCACGTCACACATACTAGGTCTCATTTGCTCAAAATGATCCGTTAGCTCAAATTCCAGAACCTAATAATCAGTTACATTTTGATTCCTCCAACTCCAGGCAAAATTCCTTTCCATTCTGATGCCAGGCAAAGTTCCTTTCCATTCACGTATGATTTTGTGGTCCACTGGGCACGGGAGTCTGTAGGTTGTGTTGCAAATCATAGTTTTCAAAATCATCTTTTTCTCCATTCTGTAACCTGGGATTCCACCTCCAAGTAAATTGTTGTTTTATTTTCTTCCTTTTTTTTTTTTTTTTGTTTTTCATTTTAAGGCCAGGGTTGGATAGAGGATAGGGATGGGCTGAGGATGGGGTGATGGGTTGGTCTCTTCATCTTACAGTTTTATTATTGTTAAATAAGTAACAGCATTTATTGCCTCCGGTATCAAATGTTATTAAATGTCTGTGTCAACAGAAAGCAGAATAACCAGAAGTCACTTGACAGTAGTGCATGACCATAAAGTATTTCTAACAAGAGTAATTGCTGTCACTGAGTGCACTCTCTCTTTTATCAGCTGTTGTAAACAAGTCTTATTACCTTTGTCATAAACAAGTAGTATTACCCTAGAAATATTATGGGGGACTGGGCACAGTGGCTCATGGCACAGTGGCTCACACCTGTAATCCCAGCTCTTTGGGAGGCTGAGGCAGGTGGAACACTTGAGCCTAGGAGTTTGAGACCAGCCTGCAACATGGTGAAACCCTATCTCTACAAAAATTAGTCAGGCATGGTGGCACATGTCTGTAATCCCAGCTACTCAGAAGGCTGAGGCAGGAAGATCACCTGAGCCTGTGGAGGTGGAGGCTGTAGTGAGCCGAGATTGCACTCCAGCCCCTGCACTCCAGCCTGGGGTAGAGAGCCAGACCCTGTCTCAGGGAAAAGAAAATAAATATTTGGGGTTTATTGCTTCTATCTCAGGCAGATTTGGTTAGGATTATATAAAAGCAAATTATACATTCATGAGAAACAGAAGCAAAGAGAACCGGGTACTTGACAGTGAAGAGGTAACAAACACAGTATAAAAAACAGCTGTCAATTTCTATGTGGAAATGGCATTAAAAGCTGCTTTGAAGGAAAGTAGATATTTCTGAAATATAATGGCTATAGATCAGAAAAATTTGTGTCATTAGTAAAGTGTTAAAAGGAAAGTGTGCATGCACACATACACACCCCTATTTTTCCCTTTAAGGTACAACCAGGATGATTTAAAACAATACATAAATGTAACAGAAGAGGAAAGTCAAGATAGGAGATCCTGCGTTTTCAATACACTTTTAGAGCTGATTATGTTTAGTGTTTTATAAGTTCTGAAATCCTTGTCTAATGAAAAGACATGTGGCTTCTAGATTTTAATATGATTACTTTTTTTTCTTTAAGCTTAAAGAAGAATTCCAAAGAACGGCCTACATACCCAGAGCTAATGGTGAGTATTGTTAGCAATATAAACATGACTATACTAATAGCTATAAAAGGCAAAGTCACTAAGACCTAAATTATCACCACATAACCATATTCAAAGAGTTGGTTCATTGAGACATCAATGACAGGAATTGAACTCCAGGAAAGAGAGTTAAAGAGTTCATCCTACCTCCTTCTTTAAATAGAGTGGGACCTATCACTATTCTTAGCAGTTTTTTCCAGGCTGATGAACCTGTCATGATATAGAACAAATTATGCATATGAAATTTATATTTTTGAATTTAAAAGATACTAGGAGCCACATATTACTAAGATAAAATTAAGGAAAGCATGATTTAAGAGATTTCAATAATGAAAAAAACTTAAATTCTATCTGATCAATTTTTGATAAAATATCTGGGCTAAATTAGATGAACAACTTTTTGGTAGGTGGCTAGGGAGGAAAAACATTTTTTTCTTCTTGTTTTTACTTTGATGGAAAAAAGTAAGACAAAGTATTATTAGTTTGAATTATACTACCTCAGCATTCACAGTTTATCTCTTGCTGTATCTATATAAAGCAAGAGTGAAAGTAAGATCTCAGCATTGTTGTATTAAAATAACTTCTTTTAAATTGTGGTAACTATAGGTAGGGCACGATGGCTGCTCATACCTGTAATCCCAGCATCCTGGAAGGCCGAGGTAGGCAGGTTGTTTGAGCCCAGGAGTTGGAGACCAGCCTGGGCAACATGATGAAACCCCACCTCTACAAAGAGTACAAAAAATTAGCCAGACATGGTGGCATTTGCCTGTAACTCCAACTACTCAGGAGGCCAAGGTGAGAGGATCACTTGAGCCCAGGAAGTTAAGGCTGCAGTGAGCCATGATTGAGCCACTGAATTCCAGCCTGAGTGACAGAGTGAGACCCTGTCTCAAAGAAAAAAAAATTCTGGTAATTACAATTGTAAGCTAATTACTAATGATTCTAAGCTAAATGCAAATGGCAAGGACCTAAACATGGCAGTGCTTTGCTTTATCTCAGTATATGTCGAATGTAGGAAAAACACATTTTTTGGGGGGAGAAATATATAAAATTGAGACTATTTTTTAATTTGTGTTAACTCGTCCCTAGATTTGTTTCAGTTATCAAGGTTTTCATTTTAACAGGGGAAAGAAGAGTTATGTTCATGCAAAATTTCTAAGGCAATAAGACACTGACACCCTTTCTTACTGGAACGCAGTTACTCGACAGGCAGTAAATGCTCGCTCCTATCCTATCCCAGCCACAAGCACTGCTGTCTTGAAGACCAACTCAGGGCATGTCTTAGAAGCACAGATTTCTAGTGTCAAATGCTGTGGTGAGGTGGCTTAGATATGAGGAAGCACAGCTTGGGAATATCAAGTCAGGAAGAGAGTTATAGAAAGCTGATCAGGAAGATGCATGATAGTTATAGTCAAGCACATAGGTTTTCAGTTCTGTTGCTTAAGCTTTGTTTGACGATTGAACCGTTTTCCAACTGGATGAATTTGGAGACAAGCCATCTCCTGGGGCCTCCATTGGGTCCATTAAAAGGCAGCCCCTGGTGCTCAGCACTCCACCAGCTTTATTCAACTAAAACTGACAGTTAAAGAAGGAAATATGAGTAATGTTTGAGAAAATCCTAGCATACTACATGTTTAGGTTGAATATTTTCTCCCTGATTATTTTCTTAATAGCTAGTCAGAGGCTTTTTTGGTTCTGTCTACTCTTTTTTAATGTGCTTATGTACCTGCTAGGGCATTTTAAAATTAATTTCACATAAAGTACAATAGATATAGAGTTATTCTTGTAGGATACTATGGAGCCTGTAATCCTATTTTATTTATTTATTTTTAAATTTTTACTTTTTAGAGATAGAGTCTCATTATGTTGCCTAGGCTGGTCTCGAATTCCTGGGCTCAAACGATCCTCCTGTCTGGGTCTCCCATGCAGCTGGGACTACAAGTGTGCACCTGTATTCCTATTTTAAAGTTGCCTTGTTTTGTAACTAATTTCATATAAGAAGAACATTTTCTATTTATTTATGGCTGTTTAAAATACAGAACTTCTTTTTTCTTCTTCCAAGTGGTTTCTGATCAGAAATTTCACTGAAACATGCTTGAGAAAAAGAATACCTAATATACATGGGCAGCTAATGTCGAATTCTGTATTTGCAATATGCTATAACACTATGATATTTTATGGCCTACAGATATATTAATGTTATAAAATCATGTCGGTACCCCTTTTCTTCTTACAGCATTAGCCTTTGTGGTACTGGAAATGGACTTGCCTTTTAAGACTATAACTGTTCTCTGTTTTCCTGTGGAATTGAGGTTTTCAAATGGAAAACCTGAGTCCAAACTCCCTGACTTTAGCATTGGGAAAACTCTTGCTGAAAGGCTATTGTTTAGATTTTAGGAGTTGGTGAGGAAGTATGAAGGAAAAAAAAAATCCTTTTTTCCAGGTAAAGGACAGTTTAATTAAGGCCTTAACGTAGACATGTCCCTCTTATAGAAATCCCAAATGTTCCTCTCCCTAACTCGTATTGAAGGTTGTATATTCTTTAAGATTATCTCATTTGCTTGTACTCTCAAATGTCACTGGGGAGTATGACTCAGTAGAATTTGTTCCTCTAAAGTAGGTAGCAGCCAACTTTTTCTGTAAAGGGCTAAATAGTATTTTAGTCTTTGTAGGCCATACAGTTGCTGTTACAAAATGACTCAGTTCAGCAGCTGCAATGTGAAAATACCCATATCCAATGTGTTAAGAAAAACAAACCAAAACCAAACAAAAACAAACGGGGTGTGTGTGTCTGTATTCCAATAAAACTTTATTTAAAAATCAGGCAGTGGGCTGAATTTGGCCTCTGGGTCCGAGGTAGCTGATCCCTTTCCTAGATGATGATCACCAGAAATGCTAACCAGTTCATTCAAGTGTTTGCCCAGTGACGTGATTATGTTCTCCAGTTATCCTAGGAACTTCTAGATTGAATTGTATGTTAAACAAAGACGCCTGAGCCCTTTCAAAACTATAGTCTTAAGGGACAAGGTGCTGTGCATGGGACAGGGAGACCTGCTGGTGACTGCAGCTTGTCTGTCTAGTCCTGACAGTACATTCATGGATCTCCATGTATTCTTCAGACACAGCAGTGAGCCTAAACGGTGCAAAGTCCTCCCTTTTTTTCTCTCTGGCTCCTCTTTTGGGAAACCCAGCCTGGGACTATAGTCTGAATATTATTCATGGTCCCTCATTTGCCCATTTCCTGGTTGCTGCCCTTGCTAATCTAAATTCATTGCTTATAGAAGGGACTGGGTTCCCTCTTAACCTTTCATAGCCTCAAAACCCTCACAAGAAGGCAAGTCACACTTTCCATTAGTTATGCCTACCTGTTTTCTCCCTCCCCTGCTCTATGGCTCTCATAGCATTTTCTCAGCCTGGGAATAAATGGAAAGATGCCTGAGGATTTTTTTTTTTTTTTAATTAAAGACTTCAAGTCAGGTTATTTAATTCATTTGCAGACTCAGGCTATATCCACTGAGCTAATAGCCACTGGCAGAACAAAAGGCAAGGTGAGGCTGACAGGTGTTGGAAGCAGTCACTAAGATAATCTGAGGTTTGGCATGTCCTGTTTTGATAGTAAAAAACTTTTAAGTACATTTAAAGATTTCCAAATGTCAAGAGGATGTGGGAAAGCTAATAAGCATAATGGTAGAACCTTTGGTAATTGTACTGTGTATGTGGTTAGTAATCAGAAGTATGGCTGCTATTTAGTTTTTGAGGGAGCTCAGGAGAAACCACCTGGCACCCAGAGCCTCAGTTCATTTCATGAGTGTAAGGATCCGAGCCAGCACCCAACCTGTGTCCTCAGATGGGCAAAGGGAGAAAATCTCTTTTCCATTTTCTGAGTCATGATTCTTAATCATGACCAGATATCTTCTCTGAGGTTTTTATTTTCTTGTTCCTTTTTCATTTGCATTGTTTCCTAAAACTTCCATGGGTGGGAACTCAGTTTTCCACGGAGCTGACTCATCCAACCCTCTGCTGTCAGGTTTAAAACAAATATAATTAGAAAACCTACAGCTGGGCAACATAAAGGTTGTAAACTAAACTCCCTAAAGTTAGGGGAAACAGAGTGAGTCACCTACATGTCTGCTTGTAAAAATGCTTACATTTAGCTACTAAACTGGTCATTGAAAATAGTACTACCAGACAATCAAGGAAGTGAGCATGGGAGGTGAGGAGGGACATGTAGGACTAAGTTCTACCTGTAGGAATTGTTCTTTTTTGGGTAGGTTTGGTTGGTTCTATTTCCACTGTAAGAGCTGTGGATCATGACCTGATGGGTCTTTCTAAGTAGAGGAGGCAGGTTCCATTGTGACAGCTGGGCGTTTATTATAACAAAATTGAGCAATCTGGGGAGAATTGTTCTAGTGCAGAGAAGATGCCTTCCTGTTCAGAATTGTTTTGAAATGTGTGGCCTCTTGAATCACATATCCTGCCTGTTCCCCTAGCAAAGCACAAGACTTGAGTTTACTGGATCTGAGCTGTGTGGATAGAGACCCTTCCTTTCCCTTTTCAATCTTTAATCTCTGAGTTCAATCTTCGCTGCATATACCTAGAGTTTGGCAATCTACATTATTTTTCAGATGGATCAACTCTTCATCAGGAGAGACATAGGTATAACTCATGGCTTGGCAGATAGTTTTAACTGTTTCAGTCGAAACCCGTTCTCCAATGTCAAGGGCAGGGGCTACCTTCCTTCCACATTTACTGTTCAACAAAATTGCTTTCTCATTCTACCATCCTTTTCCTGAGAAATAAAAGTGTATACACCTATGAATTGTCTTATTCTCTTACTACTATGTCAGTCTAAAATGACTTTGTGAGGCCCAGGGCTATTTGTGAATCAGAGTTTTGGATGTTTTCTGTGAATCTTTGTATTTTGCTATAGATGGGACTTACATAGCATAATTATACCTTTTTTTTTTTTTTTTTTTTTTTTTTTTAAGAATAGACTATAGTGGAAACCTAGAGGTATCAAGATGGAAAAAGTGGCAACTAAGAGATAACATTAAAACGTTTGCATCACTTGATATGTGCTTGATTTTGGAAAGGGTAGGAAGAGCCCAGCCTAGCTCTGATAGGGATAATTAATCCCTGTAGCAAGCAGATCTATTAATTTGCTAATTGTGTATATTGTTTGTCAGTGACAAATATTAATACCATATATTTTTCTTTTTCTTTCCTAGCAACATCCATTTTTCACCCTACATGAATCCAAAGCAACAGATGTGGCATCTTTTGTAAAACTGATTCTTGGAGACTAAAAAGCAATGGACTTAATCGGTTGACCCTACTGTGGATTGGTGGGTTTCGGGTGAAGCAAGTTCACTACAGCATCAATAGAAAGTCATCTTTGAGATAATTTAACCCTGCCTCTCAGAGGGTTTTCTCTCCCCATTTTCTTTTTATTGCCCCTCTTAAGGGGGTCTTGGAATCTATAGAATAGAATGAACTGTCTAGATGGATGAATTATGATAAAAGCTTAGGACTTAAAAAGGTGATTAAATATTTAATGATGTGTCATATGAGTCCTCAAGCTTCTCAGACTTCTCTTATTCTTTACAAAATGAATGCATTGGCCCTGACAAAAAGGTGCTACAGTAGTGATGAGATTATAAGTAGACTTGTAGTTTGTCCCATTTATTATTTTAATATTTATGTTTCAGTGTTTGGTTGAAAAGATTCCATTTTATACAAGAAGGGAGATTCAAAAAAAAAAAAAGACAAGGTTGGGTTGGCAATATTTATAGGGCTTTTATTTTTTAAGTTCAATTGTGTCTGTGGTCCAGAAGAAATTATTTAATACGCATCTTTGAGAATATTATAAAAATATCAAAAAGGAGTTCTTGTGAAATGTCTGTTCCAGCTGTTGTGACTGCTGCCATTTTTGCAAACATCTGCTCAATCCTGGGTGATCACCACATATTTTAGGGGAAGTGGCAAGATATTCTGGTCATATTCTTTTCCCAACTTTGGAAAACATAAAAATCACTCATATCACCTCTCAAAGAGTAAAACATTTGGTTCTCCTGACACTTGTGGTATAGCATTATCGGAAATTGATTCGTAATATGATTTCATATCCACTTACCTTTTCATCTACCTGTATGTGTGTTGTTTGTGTGTATATTTGGCAATTCACAAGTCCTGCCAAGTGGTTTCTATGAGCATCTCTATTTGGTAAAGAGGACATTTGTCAGTTTTGAGGGGAGATGTGTTAAACCACAGAAAAAAATGGTGCCTTCTGTGTTTGTCCCTCCTACCATGTGCAAGTTTCAAGGATTGCCTTTGTAGTTACTGTACTCGGTGGCTTTGTTTGTTTGTTTTGTTGTTCAGTAAAGAAGCCTTACTATTTATAGAAGGGCTACAGTAGGAGAAAATTAAAAGCAGTAATTCTTTGATAAGATGAGGAAATAATAGGAAAGGTTGAATTAATTCCTAGGAATGGACTACCACATGTCCAAGAGTTGAGGCCACGTCTTTCTTCAGCAGCATGCAATCTCTGGCTCCTCTATAGGAGATGAGCTTCATTGGGAACTCCTTGCAGGTTGACTAAGCAACAAAAGTTCTTTCTCATGGCTGAATATATCCTCTGGTTCTCTGATTTGTATCTCTAGGTTTCTTGATGATCAAGGACAGGGAAAATATAGACCTGTGATGAATAACCAGGAACCATTTTGGACAAGGAAGGACAGAGGATTTTGATTTTAAAAAGAAGGAAAAAAAAAAAAAACCCTACTTTTTCTTGCTTGGCTTCAAGTTCAATATGGAGAGGATTGCTTCCGTGAGTCCTCCCTTCCTTCCCCTTTTAGATTTTGAAGTGCAATCATATATTTTTCTCTGCCTTTTTTTCCTCCTTCATCTTGACAAGGAGGAGTTGCTCAGCCCAGATTGAGTGTGACACTTCCAACACTTCTTCATATTCAGTTCCAAGATATATCTGTTTTGTTAAACATCAGCTTCCTTTGCTCTAAAGCTACCTCTGTCCTCATGATATTCTAGCCATAAAACGAGTATCACCCTAGTGATTATTGCTGTTCCCTTTCCCATCTATTTTCCTAAATCTGGAAGTTCTTCTCCTTGAGATCAAGAGAAAAATTGCAATTGTATTCCTTACTTTATTCACCCATCTGTGAAAAGAGGAAGCAATAGGAAAAACATCCGGTTACTCCATTTTAGCTTTTGGTGAACTATGTAAAATAAATTGTCTCTCTGATCTAGGTCAGATTACTCTTACCTGTTTTTCCACTTTGAGACATTCTAACATATGTAACTTCTCATATGTATGCCTCTCCAGTCTGTGAACCTAGGCCAAACTTGCAAAAACAATCATATTCATAGTAGGGTAGAGAAAAAGTTAGCTTGTGGTTCTTAATCCTGCTGCACATTGGAATCATCTGGGAGCTGTAAACACTGTCATTGCCAACGTTTTAGACACCAGAGATTTGAATTTAACTCATGGGGCCTAGGAATTGGTGTTTTTTGTTTGTTTGTTTGTTTTGTTTTTTTTACAGACTTTTGTGTGATTCTGATATGAAGCAGGGTTCAGAACACTGATCTAGTATTTTCTAAAGAGAACTGACTTAAATTTACTTCCTTTTGGACATTTGCAGAGAGTAATGTGCCATTGCAGAGAGTAACAAGAACAGGTCCTATTTCTTTCCCTTTCCTCATCAGTAGAAATATCTTTATCATTCCGAGGGAAGGCATGTACCTGGGATGCTGATTGGAAGTGTAGAACACCTTTTCCCCAGAGAAGCTATATTCTGCACAGTGATTAAATACCTTATGCACTAAAGTAAAATAAAAATGACTTGATAGCCTCATGAGACTAAATTTTAGAGCATGGTTTTGTTTTTGGAAAACTGTGTTATAAGTTCCAATCAACCAACTTTTTAAAAAGTCAATATACCTAAACTATATATAAATTGGGAGTATCTTGTACATATAGACATATATATATATATATATATATATATATATAAAGATATCTGTATTCACAGATGACCCTCAAAATATCTGATGCTCAACCCAGCATAGACCATCTGAATATCAGCCCTGTCTACACCTATCAGTGTATCACAAAATCAGTATAACTCTACAAGAGAGTCATGCTCATTTCCCCAAATGTATTTGATTTTGTATCATATAATTGTCCATGTTATAATTTTTGAAAATATTTATTAAAATAGCCATTTCTCTTTTGATATTGTTTTAAGAGGTATACCAAAAAAGTAATGTGCATAACTTGTAAGACGATTACCCTGTGTGTGTACATATCAATGAATACTGCCCTCCAGTGTAGCCACCTTGAGAGACTACATATTTATATAAATAATACTGTTAAACTATTTTTGCCACTTCTCTTTCAGAAAAGCTTTAGAATCCATTCCCTCCCCTAAGATGTGTGTCATCATTTGAGAATTATTATGTAGGTCTTATTGTTGTTTGTTTTGCTTTTTACAAAAATCCTTACCAAGTGTTTCCCTCTTTGATTTACCTGCCTTTTTAAAAATCAGATTTAGCAGGAAGTTGTGTTTGACAATTTCTAGAAGTTAAATCTTCCCTCACAGTTGGAGTTTTAGCATCACTGAATCTTTGTAAAACACCATGCCATGGGCTCTGAAGATAAATTCAAATGAAGATTTCCACCCCCCTGCCCAAAATATATGATTATTTTTAAGCAGTCATTCTTCCTCTGGAGTAAGTGTAGTCTCCCAAAATGATTACTTTGAAGGAGATAGAACCTCCATAAAGGTAGGTATTCATTGATAAAATATCAGGTAGTTACGGATTTTGCATGTGAAAGCACCTATTCTTTATGGTTGGAGGCCCTGAAGTGGGGAAATAATCTATTATTCTAAAGACTGTGTTTGGTCACACTGATTTAATCAGAACAAATGGGTTAAGTTAGCAGCTTCTATCACAGGGAAGCCATCTGAAAGGGAAATGAGTATGTGTGGGCATGGCTCAAAATTGTCTGCATTTTACAGTTCTTGTATATTCTTCAAGCCTAACAAAAAATTCTATGTGCCAGAGATTCTAAACTTTCTGTGTTCGTGGTGCCATTAGTCATCTCAGTAATTTTTTCATGGTACCCCAGGCCAAAATAAATACTTAATAGTTCAGTGTTTTAAATAATTAGGTCGCAACAGCTTAATAATAGCAGTTTGCAGTGTCCTGCATATGTCACTGTGTTTCCCTTAAAAATTTCCAACATCAGCCAGATGGGGTAACTCACGCCTGTAATCCCAGCACTTTGGGAGGCTGAGGCGTGTGCATCACCTGAAGTCAGGAGTTTGAGACCAGCCTGACCAACATGATGAAACCCCGTCTCTACTAAAAATACAAAAATTAGCTGGGCATGGTGGCATATGACTGTAATCCCAGCTACTCGGGAGGCTGAGGCTGGAGAATTGCTTGAACCCAGGAGGCAGAGGTTGCAGTGAGCTGAGATCACACCATTGTACTCCAACCTGGGCAACAAGAGTGAAACTCCATCTCAAAAAAAAAAAAAAATTTACAACATCTTTCTAGACCTATGCGTGTGCTGTGATGTCTCAGGATATCTCAGTACATAATTTGGGGACCACAGATATCTATTATGCCAATGTTGGCACTGTCCGCTGTTGGTGACCCTCAAATGGAATTCTTGGCCATTCAACTCTCTATACTATTTCACTATTTGTTTTGTTATTTTATATATATATATATATATATATATATATATATATATGGGATCTTGCTCTGTCACTCAGGCTGGAGTGCAGTGGCGTGATCTCGGCTCACTGCAACCTCCACCTCCCGGTTTCAAGTGATTCTCCTGCCTTAGCCTCCCAAGTAGCTGGGATTACAGGCACACGCCACCACGTCCAGCTAATTTTTGTATTTTTAGTAGAGATAGGGTTTTACCATGTTGGCCAGGATGGTCTCCATCACCTGACCTCGTGCACGCCTTGGCCTCCCAAAGTGCTGGGATTACAGGCGTGAGTTTGTAATCACCTGGCTGGCTAATTCATCTTTTAACTGTAACCCAACTCTGCTTTGCTGTTCCTCAGTCCTACAATGCCATGGTGTTGCAGTCCAGAAAGTCGTAATACTCATTAGCCCCAGCATCGGAGGAGGCTGGTACTAAGATGGCCAGGGTTCTTGATTTCTCCCATTGAACTCGATTTAGTGTCTTGGGAACTATAATCTCAAAGGAGGCAGAAAGGGGTTAATGTTTCATAGTTTATCACTAAAATGTCTTTGTTGACCAAGGGGTTTTATTAGCTATGCTCAGAGAAATAACTCTGTTTCTCTTAAAAGTGTCTAACAAAACACTTTTTTCTTTGGCCTGAAAGGACAATGGATACCTAGTTCCTAATTTCCCACCCAAATGCTGTTTTGGCTATGTTACTCCCTATGACCTTGAAGGTAAGATTTGTGTATTTACCAAAGTTATTGGAGCTTGTAGTCAGATCTAGTAAAATTAATTAAATGTCTATTGTGCTGCAATTTTGCCTTCTTAACATCCATCTATGACTTGAAGAGGGA